ACAAGAAATTCTGCACCAAGCAATAGCTCTTCCTAAGAAACCAGAACTAGAAAAAATAAGCAGCATCTCACCCATCACAATTTTGGGTTAAAAAGATATTTTTCCATTTCAGAAATGTTTACTCCAACATGCACATTAATATGGATTATTATCCATCATCTTCCTAGTAGTTCAATGTAAAAGATCAGAACTACACCAAAATCCAAAAGGTACATACCATCAAATTCCTAGGAAAACTATCCCTGTTACAATGTTTACAATAGTTGTTTTTCTAAACTATATCAAGCATATGGATAGCAGTACATTTAAAAGGATGAAAAAGCCATGAATTTGCATTAATGAAGGAGCTTCCTATACCCGCAACACACAAACTTCATTCTGTGTATACTTAGGCTGAGTTCTACCTTCTGGAGCAGTGTTTCCCAACTAGTGTGCTACAGTGCAAAAGTGTGCCGTCAGAAATGACCAGGCATGCTGTGGAATTTTGCTATGGCAATGAGCTATGAAATGAGCTATAATAGGTGAGGATGGGGAATGCCATGGAACACTTTTATTAATGTAAATGTGCCTTGGGCTGGAAAAGGTCGGGAAACACTACTGTGGAGGATGTAAATGCCCAATTCCCATTAATTTCAAAGATAATTGTGGATCTAGATCCTCCATGTCAGGAATGTCAGCTACACAGCCTGTGAACTGGACATGGCCTGCATCTTCCCTGCCCCCTTCTCCCAGGGCCAAAAAAATGAAGGAGCAAGAGCAGGAGTTGCCTAAGCACATGGTTCATATACCCATCTCAACCTTATGCTGCAACAGGAGTAGGCACTATGCTGATGCCTCCTGCAGCTTCTGGCAACTTTACTGCTCCCCATTGTCAGTGCCAGTGGCCATGGGAATTGGCAGCATTTGGCAAGGGGCAGGGGCCAGTGGGAGTGCAGTAGTGACTGTGCTGACAGCTATCCCTGCAGCAGCAGGAATCCACATTAACCTTCTGCTGCCTGCTGTGCCAACACTCCCTTTCGCAGCAGTGACCCTGGTTATGGCTGTGGGACTTCTTGCTGTAACTTCCAGTCACAGCAAGACCAGGGCATGGGCAAAACCCGCTGCAGTCATAATGGTTGTGACCTGCAGACACCTGCAAAAGCAAGGAACACTGTCCATGGACCAGTTTGAGTGCGACTCTTCTGCTCTATGTAAAAATTAGATAGCAGTAAAATTCTCATTTCCTGACGAGGTTTCCTGAATATTCCTTTAATATTCACTGGCTTCTCATACAGCAAGTTTTTTTGTGAGGAATGACAGGGTAATATGATAACACTCAGGTGGAAAAACCACATAATGAAGACAAGTGTCCTACAAGCTGACCTCTAGAAGTATATATTTTCCAGTTTGATTTTTTGCCAGTCAGTGAAGGCAAGACATTATTCTGGCTAAGTTCTCTGGTTGCTTCATCATGTCTGTTACAGTGCATGATTCAGCGTTACATTTCTTAGTCAGAAACTCTGTACAGTTATATATGGCACATAATGACACTTTAAAATATTGCTGAAATCCTTATCTGGATGAAGAAAGCATGAGGTAAAACTGAAAGTGGTGTCAAAACTAAACAAGGTATATGATCAGAGCACTTTACTCTGGGACTTAGAAGAGCCACCTGGATCAAATGCTTCTGGCTCTCCCCATTTTCATGCAAGAGAAACAGAATTGAGGGAGAGAGTAAAAACAGGGAGCATAAATGTACCTAGAAGGATACATCACCAACCATAACAAAGGCAAGCAGAAATCCATTACATACTTTACTGATGTTGCTTTTCCATGTAAACAAGTGCTGCAGTTAGCAGAGATGTCATGCCCCTCAAAATGGATGGGAGGTGGTTGCTCACTAGGACTAGAATCACCAGTGAGATTAAGTCCTGGGTCACACCAAGAATATTTTACCACCCTAATATCACCCTAATACTCAAGATGTCAAAGCATAGCAACAGATTCAGTGTGCACCTTAGGAGCATACAAGCACCTGGAAACTTACCAGGGAATTAACTGTAAGTTTAAAAATTAGTTCTACAGTCTCATGACAAAAACACTCTACATAACACTGAAATATTCAGGATTCTTCTCTTAGTCACAATACCTCCTGAACTAATCCTACTGCCCATTTGGTTATTTCAGAAACAGCTCTGACATAAGGAGAGACATTACATTTAATACCAAGTCAGGGAAAAGGGGGAATAAACAAGATTTAAAATTGCCTCTTAAAGGAAAGATTAGTAGTTTTTCTTAACAAATGTCAGGCTACTGGTGTAGTTTGTTCACTGTAATATTATGAGGAACTACTATTGCTCTTATATTGTATACGTTTAAAAAAAACACCCAAAAAAGACTTCCTTTACAAGTGCATCACAAGTCCTTACAAAACAACATTTGTTACAAGATAAACAACTGGGTTTTTATTTCTTATTCCTAGATTATAATAAAACAACCTGAATGAATTATGGTCCCAACCACAGAAAATATCTGATGGTACATCAATAACACACCATAACTAAGTGATGTTATGCAATACTATCTGGTACAAAAAAATAACCACAAACACAAAAGACCTAAATAGGTAAGTTTTTCCAGGATTCAGATGGCACTATCATTTCAGCTTATAAAGGCTGACTAGTGCTTCCCCTTGTAAGAGACCCTGATGCGAAACCTGATTTAATATTATGTGCTGGGTTTTGCCTTCAGGCTGATTTTTTTTGTGCGTGTGGTTAAAACAGGTTTTGGCTCATGTTAAAAAAAAATATGAAGACTTTTCTTTGAAAAGCTCCCATGCTCTGCAGCAAGGACTTGAGATTTGGATGAGCCAAGGTTATGTAGCAAACAAGGCAATGGTCTGCAAGACACTTCACTTGTTGCAGAAGTTAGATGTTTAGTAAAAGGACGCAAATCTAATTTTTAAGGAATTGAATGATGCCCTGAAGAACTGGAACTGGATGCCCCCTGTCTGCCACAGAATTCATAGATGATGGCAGTCCAGTCACTTAAAGCAAACCTCTAACAGACAGTAGTTGCCCATTGTGTTTTCCTGGTGCCTGGCTTGAGAACTTAGGTCTGATTTGTAGAACTGCTAGGCGCACATACCTGCTACTGAAGTCAGTGTCATCCAGTCTGCACTTCAAACATACTGAAAAATTAGTCTTAACAGTATATAGCATTTCATGTATTTAGGTATCTAAAATTGAACTTTCAAAATCAATGGTAAGCAACATGAATTTTCATGTGCATCCACTCCCCACCTGTAAGGGATTATATTATCCCCTCATTCTGTAACAGTGTTGTGAAAGTAGTTATGATGATGATGATGCATTATGTTACTGTGATGTCAGAAAAGCCTTGAGGAAATTAATAATTCTGTTTTCAGAACATGGTTTGAATAGTGGGCAGTTAATAAAGCACAGGCCACACAATGAATGGGGGGGAAAAAAACAAGATTTTAAACAACAGCTCATAAGGGAGCACCATCCATTCTGGCTAGAAAGAGAGGCAGGGTTCTTGTGGGAAACTAGTATGCTGCCACCTAATTAAAAGCTGTATCATAATGCATGTGCATAAGGGGACTAACATGAGATTGCAGAAGCAACCTTAATTCTGGCATTACAAACCTTTGTGCGTGACTTTGCAATCTTAATCGTGTTCTTTAAAATATGTTTTGTGTGTGTGCAATTCCATGTGGCACTAGAAACATGCATAACAACTGACAGACGATGTAGACTCTAACCCTGATGAGGCCAATTTAATGGGGCCACATGCTGGAGCAACTACCTATTTGAAGGAGTGGGCAATGGGTTAATGAGTGATAATTCAAGCAGCAAGAAGGAAAGGTGGAGGTAAGCAATGGCAAGTACTACTGCTTTGACCAGTAACATGCACATCATGCCGGTTACAAGGCTTTTTAAAACTGATCGGGATCACCTCTCCTACTTCACAGAGGAGAATAAAAAAAGGTCTTTATATGTGGGAGTGAATCTGTCAGCCCTGGGGAGAGAAGTTAGGAGTGGTCATGCAGGTGAAAAGTGCATCTTTGGTAGCATATGACAACTGCTAATATGCAACCTAGCCAAAGGTTAGTCTGCATGTTGACTGGCCATCAAGTTACTCTTATGTATGTTAAAAGCAATAAGAAAAGTGGGTATCCAATTGTGCTTTTGACTACTGTACACAACCACAATGCAGTACTGGTTGCCTAGCAACATTTCTCAAATCGTTTCTGAGAGGCAGCATTCACTTCAGAGGCAGGGCTCAAAGAGCAGCAAAACCCAAAGTTGAGCAATGAAAGAGTGACTGAAGCTCTACAATATGCTTTCATTGGCGCTATATAAGGAAATTCACATTCAATATAAGAATACAGCCTATCATTTTTTTATGAATGTGCGTTTATCAAATCAAGTTGTTACTACACTCTCCTCAGATTATACCAATAGTCATAATTAATTTTTAAAAAGTCATCAGGAAAAACACCCATGTTTGCCATGACACACAGCAGCTAAAAACTTTGTTCAGACATTGTGAGGGGGAAGAGGAGGGAGAACTAGTCTTGCCAATTAGTAATTGACTCTGGTTATGTGACAAGACTTCTACCAAACACCCTAAAACTGACTTGGGGGGGGGGAGGAGAATATAAGATATATATATTCCCCCTCTCCAAGTGAGGGGCATCCAAGCATCCACATTGAAAAATGCTCTATATCAGAGGTCTCTCTGAATACAGCTCATTAAGATAGCCTTGAAACAAAATTCTTTTATAATACATGATTTATGATGTACAATAAAGCTAACCATGTAGTAGATAAAGATATAGCACTGCACAATTTTTATGCTAATAACTACAGGACACTTACCCGAGTGACCAACTACCTAAATAATCAACCTAACAGGTACATGACAGAATAAAACAGTTAACTTCACTTGCTAAAGCATTCTTAAAGGAATGTTAAAGACTTTTGAATATACCATACCCTCCTCTGGTGTGACATTTACTGTGCTTGCTGATTTTATATGGCAATGATCTTTCTCCCAGGTTTTCCAGATTCCTCACAATTGCTCCTCTCTCCATCAGAGCCTCTACAGTGCGCTTCAGTGTAGCAGCTGTTTCAGGCTTTAAAAGAAAAAAGAAGTAGAATAACAACTAGGTATATGTCTAAATTAACAAAAATCAGTTAACAGCTGGTTAAGTATCAGAGTCAACAGAGAAGTAACACAACAAGCCAAGACTCACAAATATACTTAGTTATATTTTAGCAAGGTGTCAAATACATTTTGAAATAGTACAGCTGGTTTTCTACCTCCAAAATCAATTGCAAACTATTACCAAGTTCAGTGATGCCGAATTAGAACCCCAGCTGCATTGCATGGGTGGGCGGACAGGAATGACCAATGAACTTGATTTATCTTTGCCCTCCTACCTGTACAGCCATCTACAATAGTGCAGGTCTTGTTTGGTATTTTTGTGACCGTTTTTTGAACTGGAGGAAGTCAATGCATAGGCCAAGAGCTTATTTCACATTTCTGCAGATCAGCTGGCATTTGAATTGAGTTCCTGCATTACAACATTTTCTCAATACAATGATTTTTCATAATTTGTGATGTTCTCAACACACTATCTGAGATGAGTGCAAGTGGAACACCACCAATTTTGGTTGACTGCAAGTAGCACTGATCAACAACAAGCATACTTACCTGATCATTTCCATTATGCACGTAAAAACCCCCATGACCCTTCATTATTTTAATTCATGCCACAGAATTTCATAGCTTTTATGTATGTTTGTAATTTGAACTGAATTATTTGGTTTTATTTACAACACAAAGAACTAAAGAAGGACAAAATGAATTCTACTTCTAACAAGTGCTGGTACTTCTCCAAGAAGGACACAACTAAAAAACATCAGGTCAATGAGACTATTATTTCTGATAATTGCTTGTCAAGATTGATATGGAGTTTTAGATCGTGCCAACCCCACTTCACCATTACTTTATGAAAAAGAATTAAAAAAATTTAAAAGAATGTTTTGAAAGTGGCAGTAAGGCAGTAATATTCTCAGCAGTTAAAACAACCCTGCTGTTTATCACACACTATATGATGCTGGTAGCTAAACTGAAGAGCAGCACCATGTTGTTAATATCAAGTTTCTGGATGCCTAACACAATAAAAAAAAAATCGAGTTTAAAGCTACTTTTAAGGCACCATCCCATATCAAAACATGTTCCCATGGTCATGTGTTTGATGAGAGGGCAACAATTGTAAATAAGAAAGTTACAAAATATTTAGCAAGTTTCAAAGTAGTTAGCATTTAAGCAATGAATTTAAGTAATTGCTCCGTCATCATCATCCAGGCATTCCTTCTTGGTCTAAAGTAATAACTGTTCTTCAATCCCTCCGTTATAATCATGAGCAAAAGTTAATTGTCTGCCTCTCAAAGAGAGATGCGAAGTCTTGGTTAATAACGAAGACTGTGGAATTTATCAGAAATATTAACAGCAGTTAGTGAACATGTACTGCAACAGCCATACTCTACCATTCATGACTAGGATGATTTGCACCTTAGTTCATATTCACCCTAAATTTCTGGGTATCCCTTCCATTTTACCAGAGGTATAGGGAAGTATGAAAACACTCCCAAATACATAGTAGATTCACAGAACAGAAAACATTTAGCAGGTGTTGTTTCTTTGGCAGACCTAAGACAATCTGAAACTTTTGGTTTTCCTTATAGGTGTGCAGACCTACAAGGTTTGCATGACATTATCCGTTGGATGTTTTCAAAATTAAAAACCTAGCTAGCATGTTTAGTCAATCTGTAAGGTGCATCTCTACCCTGCCTTCTGCCTAATAGTCACAGTCTGGACTGAGAAGAAATTCTCACAGATCAATGCAGTTTCTTTTCCATTCCCCAACATGCCAAAGGGATTTAGTTTAAACTGTTTGGGAAATCCCTTTTCAAAAAAACTGAAGTCTAGTCAATTATAAATTGCAGAGAAATCCTTGTCCTTTTTCAGCCTGTGTGTAAATGGTGTTACAAAACCATGACTGGCACCCAAGACAACCATTCTTGCAAGTAAGAGGAGAAACCTTCACCTTGCTAAAGCTTTTCCGAAGTTCAGAGGAATCAATACAATGAAAAATATTATTCCTCAAACCAGGGTTGTTAGTTGTAGCTGTGTTAGTCTAAAAACATACGCAGGCAAGGTTCTTTGGGTAGGTGTGTTATCTTTTATTAGACCAACTAAATAGATTCCTCAAACAAGCAGATGCCAAAGATACGTCTAGCCTCAATCTGAAAATGTGGAACAGAGTTTAAGAGGTCATAAAATACCTAGTAAATTATATTCTGCTAAACTAAATGACAGTTTAAATAAAAAACGTAGATGACATTGGTTTAAACATGTTTCCATATTCCTCAATTTATAAAAAAAAAGACAACTGTCCTACTACAATCCAAGCTTGCCGAGGCCTTGTCACACTTGTAAGATTTGCTACAGTGAACTAAGAGAGGTTCTCTAAATGAAGATGGTCATAGAATATACAACTTAAAATCACCCTAAAGAGCTACACTTTTTCAGGTGTCATCCCAGACCCTCCACAGTCCAACAACTTGAAACCAAAATCTCTAATGCTCTCTGCCTGGGCAAAGCTCAGAACCAGTACTTTTCCACCCTAATCCTCTGCTAACTGCCTTACAGTCATGTAGTTCTTCTTGAATTCTTGTCCTTCCTGGGCTTTCCCAACTCTGGCCTCTCTTACCTCTCGAATCATTTCTTCAGTATTTTCTTCAAAGGATCCTTCTCATCCTCATTCCTGCGTCTTCTGGGGATCTGAAAAGGATCTGTCCTTGAACCCCTTTCTCCTTCTTTATCCCTTTTGTCTATGCGTTTCTTTTGAAAGCTCAAAATGAAATTACTCTCTCCACATAGATTACACAGTTGTCTCTCTCTCCTCCAAACTCATCTGTTTCCTTCTGACAAAACAAAGTTTGGCCTATTCCTCTACCGTCCCCTCATGGGTGTCAAGCTATGAATTCAAGTTCAACATGACAGAGCTCTTAATCTTGTGCCATTCAATCTTTTTCACAACTCCCTCCTTAAAAATAACCGTTGGGCCTGTAACTTTGGTGTTACCTTCTGCGTGGACTCTTTCCAGCTCCTCACATCTAGGTTATATCTAACTCTTGCAGATTATTTTTGCATAACGTCTCTAGGACATGACTTTTTCCTGTCACTACACAGGTAAAATGATCATCTAGGCTATTCATAGCCATTTGGAAAGCTACTGAAAATAACATTTTCTTAATCCTTTTCTTTGTCTACGGGTCACCTCCCCTCAACTCCCATCCAGTGCCATCCATCTAAGCTACTCTGGTCCTTTTCACTACGATTCCTGCCTGTCATCTCTTATTCACTACGAAGAACTTGGCTTCACTCACAGGGCACATCCACACATGCAGGCACATGTACTGGCAGCAGATCAACTAGAAGCAGTACAAATTTGAGCCAGGGCTTTTTGCCTCAGCGCATGTGCCTGGACATGCACTTCGTTGTGGGGCAAATTGTGTCACCTGTGCCAGAATAATCTTGCCTGGGTCATCCCAGATCTGCAGCCAGGGGGAGCTAGAGCCCAGGGCCAGCACCTGTGCTGTCCCCAGCAGTATAAAAAACTACCGTCCTGACCACGCAGTACAAAAAGCTGCCCTGTCAAGTAGCTCAGGGATACTTGCTCTAATGGGCCCCAGCCAATTGATACCTGGGGATGCTACCCCTTGTGCCAGCTGGACTGCTGCAGCAGCCCTGAGAGTTCCCTGCACCCTCT